ATATTTTCCGCCAGGTTGGCAATTTACGTTTCTGGATAGGACTTGGCTCAAGGTGATTTCGCAGGCAACAGAAGACAGAAACGTTTTTGTGTTGCTCAAACAGAGATCGAGAGTTAGGTCTAACGTACCAGCCTTGCCGCCAACGAAGGACCGGCTAATGGCGACAAACAGAGCTCGCCAGACTGGTTTGCCTAGGTAGTATCACTTCACATAAGCACAATGATTGAACTCAATTGCAGCTTGAACGTTCGATCCGTCGGGGTAGGAATCGAAAAGTGAAACTCTTTAAGCTTAAATGGTGTACAACCTGCTGTAGCACCTCCCAACCGCGAAAGGAACTCGGGACGATTAAGTGTCCGAGAAAGGTACTCGGACCAGATCGCCGCCCGAATCTCACTGCGGAGGAGCGCTGCAATGGCGCTTTACCGCTGAGTGGGTGGGTTCTCGCGAGGGGATTCCTTATTCCAGACAGGCTACTACGTATCTAAATGACGATTGAATGCTGCTTGGCCATGCACTGGGAACCCATGGGTTTCAGTAGACTTGAAAGAAGTGACATGAATATTGATGCAACCGTTTGCAGCGGGATTGCCAGTTAGTATTGGAGGAAATGGACTATTATGCACACCACACCATCAAGAGAAGCCCCTGTTTTAGGGCGCGATGTAGCTGTGCATCAGGCAAGTCGCCCACCAAGTACCCAACAAATGACGCGCTGGCTACTTCTGTCCACAAATTGACTGTTCAACCTTGCTGGTGATGTTGACAAAATACAGGGGGCCAATAGGCATCGGAACAACGGACATCGGAACAACGCAGAGCGGAACAACAAACAGCGGAACAACAGGGCAGTCTTCCCGTTCAGGGGCTAGGGCTCCCTTTGCCACACGGAAGAGAGATAAATTGTAGACGAGAGAGGAGGGTGACTCAGCTCCCTGACGGTCAGACTGTGGGACGTTACTACGTCAAGCCTTCGCAGAATTCAATAAAAACCTTTCATTCTTGGCGGCCCCATCTGACCCGGCTGTAGATGGTTAAAGATGAAAGAGTATTACAGTGTCTTGTTGGCATCCCACAAAACCTTCCCTGTACTAGTGTCATAAACTGAAATCGGTAATTTATTGACATTCCTTAATCAGCAAGTTATGTGCAATTGTTTCTTCTTGGATAGAAGAGCACTGAACCCAGGCGCCGGACTCATATCATTCTTTCCAGGGCTCTGTACACACCCAGGTGCTTTTAATTCTGTCAGTCATTTTCAGTTACCAAACAAGATTTCATTCGTTTATCGGGTTCACTCGATGTCTGATATAACGGCACAACATGGCAGTGCCTTCTAGCAGAATTCACACATTTCCGTAGGCGGAGGCCAGCACGGATCAGCTACAGAGCTCCCAGAATTCAGAAAGAAATACCACAGAGACGCCTGGTGATCTTGAATAGTGATTGGATACAAAGTTGTTGTAAGTTACGCTATGAGCATTCAACAAGCAAATCGCTTTCTAAATAGACAGGCTTTAGGTTGATCATCTCGGTATCCCACACCGGTATCCCGCCCCGGGCCGCCGTGAGATAAGCTCCGATCGGCGCCGCTACCAAAGTGGAGAACCGGCCCCCGCCCGCAATCCTGCCTCGGACTTTTACGCATAAAAGTGCGATTTATTCCCTTTAATTCCCTCCTCTGTGGTATCGGCATTTTCCCCAGACGATACCTGGGCTTAATTGCTGTCTTTGTCCAGATTTGGGGTCCCAGGCCAGATGAGCCGCGGGCACAAGCTTCCATATGAACGAACTCACGCTTATACCTGACATGCGCTGGCTGCGGGGTCTGAAAGTTAATTCAACTGATGAACTGGGCCGGTTACCATATCGTGACGTCCCCTGAAAACGGCATTTGGAGACCGAGTTTCCCCTCCCGCGGAGAACATCCGTCGAGACAGATAGGGAGAGGGGTGCCGCGGAAGACGCCGTTATGAGACATCGTCTATCACCCCTCATGCAGGGCGCCGATAAGAGCTCTCACGTCATTTCCCTGCCACATTAGCTACCCCTCCTCTCCCTTCCGAATCGCAGTCTGCATCTTTCCCAGCATCAACCACCAAGTCCATCATCCGGCCGGACCAATAGCCAAGGGGGAGCCTCGTCCATCTGTCCACGCGGTAGAAAGACTGTCGGGAAACTCTGCTACACTGACCACTGCTCGACCTGGTGGTCTTTCTTCCGCGAGCATGGATCCCGCAAAGCTGACTGGCCAGGCTCTCCTTAGCCACACCATCCAGACGACCCCCATCATTGACAACCACGCCCATCCTCTGCTGGATCTCGAGGCCATTGGCCGCTACCCTCTTTTGTCAATCACTACCGAAGCCCATGGAGACGCAATTCACGCTTCATTGACCAGTCTCGCGCATCTGCGCGCTGTCAAACAGCTGGCCAAGGTGCTCCGTTGCGAGCCTAGCTGGGAGGCGGTGGTCAATGCCATTGAAGCTAAGCGCATCGAGGACTACGATGCATGGGTCGAGGAATGTCTCAATGGCATCGAGTCCGTCCTTGTTGACGACGGGTTGGACGGCGAGAACGTTGTCTATCCTTACACTTACTTTAGCAGTCTCACTCGGAGCCCCGCTAAGAGAATCGTGCGAATTGAAAAGATCGCTGCTGACATCTTCAACGAGCACCTTCCAGTCGACGAAGGTACAGCTCGTACGGCGGAGGACTCCAACGCCGTCTTCGACAAGGCGCTGAAGGCGTTCGATAGCAGCATCTTGGAAGCTATCGCGGATCCAGAGGTCGTCGGCTTCAAGTCCGTCATATGCTACCGCACCGGCCTCGCAATTCCGAGAAAGCCAGATGCTGCTTTCGCCCGCAAGGCCTTCGAGGGCATTTACGCGACTCACACCAAGGGAACCGACAACGCGTTCACTCGCGTCAACCACCCCGGTCTCAATGAGTACCTGGTCCACCGGCTTGCATGCCTCATCAGAAATACCGAAGGCTCGGGTAAGAAACCCATCCAATTTCACACGGGATTGGGCGACAACGACATCAGTCTTACTTCGGCCTCTCCTGCACATCTTCAGGAATTCATCCGCCAGTACCCCACGGTGCCGATTGTCCTGCTCCACGCAAGCTACCCGTATACGAGAGAAGCTGGGTACCTGGCGTGTGTTTACGCCAACGTCTACGCAGATATCGGCGAAATCTTCCCTTTTCTCAGTCGCGATGGCCAGGAAACTGCACTCCGTCAAATACTAGAGCTGTGCCCATGGTCCAAGATCATCTGGAGCACTGACGGACACTGGTTTCCCGAGACCTACCTCTTGGCCGTGTTGCAAGTCAAAGAGGTGATGGAGAAGGTCAGTGTTAGGTATAAGGTACTATGTCAAAAAGGTTGAGGGCTAACCTATTTCAGGTCTTGTGCGAGTACGCTCGGAAAGGCCACATGACTTGGCGAGAGGCGACCCAGCTGGTGAAAGACGTTCTCTTCAACAACTCGAACCACATCTACCACCTGGGATTCTCCTTCAGCCCTGAAGAAAGCCACATGAACCCCCGACGGCTGTCTGGCAGAAGTGATCTGGACATTCTCGAGGCATTCCTGGATGGCAAGAAGCCACCGCAATACCTTCGCATCTACTGGAACGACATGACCGCTACCCCACGCGTTCGGGCCGTGCCCATGCGAAAGGTCCTATCGGTGATGAATGAAGATGGAGACTTCTCAATAAGCATTACTAAGGCAAGTCTTGGTCTGCTTCAGAACGACATGGTCGTCGCGGGAGCTTCCGGCACGGGAGAATACCGGCTCCATCCAGACTTCACATCTCTCCAGGAGGGTCCCCGTGACGGCCATATCAGCGTGTTTGGAGATTTCAGAGAGCAGGATGGATCGGTCGTACCCTTGTGCCCGAGGTCGTTGCTTCAACGAGTGGTCGAGAATGCAGCACGCAGGGGTCTCACCTTCCATGTTGGATTCGAGATCGAGCTACTTCTTCTTGAGCGGATTGACGGTCCGGAGAAGTATCGAACATTGAGGAACGACGGACATGCTTGGTCAACCTCCCGAATGATGGACCATCCCGTATTTGTCAAGGTTATCGAGCGGGCAGTCGCCGAGCTGGACTCGAGAGGAATCTATATCGAGCAGATCCATCCCGAAAGCGCCGCCGGTCAGTTCGAAGTCGTTCTCCCTCGAGCTCCCCCCTTAGAGGCCGTAGATACCCTCCTATACGTCCGAGAGGTCATATCAGGCATTGCTCAGTCAGAGGGCTACAGGATGTCCCTCCATCCAAAGCCTTACCCGAAATCCTGTGGTACCGCGGCTCATGTGCACATGTCCATCACCTCCCCCAACGGCTCAAAGCCTGAGACCTACGGACCATTCTACGCCGGCATCCTCAAGCATCTCCGCGCCATCGCGGCGCTGACATACAGCAACCCCGTCAGTTACGAACGTGTCCAGGACGGCTGCTGGGCCGGTGGCCGGTGGGTGACCTGGGGCACTCAGAATAGAGAAACACCCCTGCGCAAGTGCGAGGACAGCCACTGGGAAGTCAAGTGCCTGGACGGACTCGCGAACCCCTACCTCGCAATTGCTGCCTTACTGGGTGCTGGCGCGTACGGCGTCATGAAGGGCGAGAAGCTGACCTGGGGAGACTGCGAGGTCGACCCTGCCTCTCTGACGAAGAATGATCGCAAGGAGTTGGGCGTTGAGCAGATGCTTCCTGCTGGGCTGCCTGAGGCTCTCAAGGAGTTGAAGGGTGACGAGGTCATGAATGAGCTGCTTGGTGAAGAGCTCATTGAGAGGTACGCGACGGTCAAGGAGGAGGAAATGAAGTTCTTGGAGTCTCTGAGCGTTGATGAGAGACGCTTGTGGATACTGGAAAGATACTAAGGGGGGGCGGTAAGAATGATGTCAAAACGTCGACAGTCAAAAAAAGGTTTCAAATCAAACCGCTCTGGAAAGAATAAATGCAAATTCAGAACTGGTTTCATCCTCTCTACTTGCTCTCCTTGATGATGGTCTGCATAGCCTTGACATACTCGTCGACCTCTTTTGCGCCGATGAGTGTGAGGTCTCTCCTTCTCCCTTCAAATACGATGTGTGGAACAGCATCCACGCCATCCATGGCAGCCGTGCGGATCATGTTCCTCGTGTCAATCTTGCCCTCCGTCTGATCTTCGACAACCTCTTTCGCTTCTGCCTCTGGAATCCCCGCCTCTACGCAGGCGTCGACCAGCACTTCCTTCGCACCTTGGTCCTTCTCCTGCTCAAAGTACCGACTGTACAGGGCTTCCACCAAACGATTGGCGGTCTCCGCATCTTTGGCCTCTTGGAAGTGCTGGATCACGCGGTGCGCATTGAAAGTGTTCGACATTGTCCCGCCCCAGGAGAAAGGAATGCCAACGGCTGTTCCAAGCTCGGACATTGTGGCCTCATAGACTGACTGCTTAATGTCGGAAGCATCGTGTTTGGTAGTCACATACCACTGGCGCTTATCCTGGGGCTCAGTCGGGAAGTCAGGGTAGAGTTGGTAGGGGCGGAAGACAAGCGTGAAGGAGACGTCGTTAGCAGTGGGTGAGGCGGCGATTTCCTCGAGGGCTTTGCCCAGTCTGTATCAGCTGATATGTTAGAATCGTTGATGCGGCTTAAAGTATCAACAGCCAAAGTGTTGCCGGGCGGGCACTGCCTGTCGGTCACTGCTGTAGACGCCATCGCGCTCAATGCTGCCCTCCCCGTCCTCCTCCGCCGACGACGATAAAGTTGGAAAGAAGGGGCGCTCTTGATCTTCTGTACGAAACATCTTAGCCTCACCTTTTCTTTGCGATGTATGTCCTTAAATGGAGATTCGTCAGCAGATAAAACCGAGCACGAAGACTCTTTCATGTCGCCAACTCACCAAGGACATATCGTGTCAAAGGTGAAGGTTATCTGAGACTTGTACATATTGAAGAACTTTTGTAAGTTGAAGATTGGTAGTGAGTTTGAATGTGCTTGCTTGAGTCCAGTTCAAAAATCTTAGCAGATGATCGGTTCGGGTCTATGACAAATGCCGCTTGCTAACTTGTCATGACCCCGCACCGCCGTGAAGATCACGTTCACGTGGTTGATTACATCAATACCTCCTGAACCAACACCATCATGTATCTGGAGCGGAAGAGATACTGCCAGATGAAGTATTTGACAATAATTGATTTTTAGATAGCCGTACTTTAATTTTCTCAAGCAAACCTTGGTACCGATCTTGCTTTTATCCCTCGCGGACGCTCATATTCCCCGGCCTTTGAGTATCTAAAGATTATTCCGGGAACTTTCCTCTGGTCTGATTCGCTGACCGCCAGGCCTCGATTTCTATGAAGCAACATTCACGGCGATGCATGCTGCTTTTCACACATGATAAAATTGATTGACGCTTCACAATACTTCCGCCGACTTCGGGAACTTTCAGCTCGAGAACGAGGACTGCTCCGTGCGTAGTCTGGGAAGGAAGGTCGAAGAGAGAAAATTACCCCCATTTATTTCCTAGTGAAGGCCTGCTGCCCGGGACAGTGGGTCACCAAGCCACTGGGAAGTAAAGTCGAAGCGAGGAAACTATTTGCACTAGGATTGAACTGGGTTAACTCAATCGAAGATAAGAGCCACGGTAGTAGCGATGGGGCATCACGATAGGGGACATTAAAAGCCTTTGACTCGGCCCTACGGGTTTCATTGAATTATTATCACAAGTCAGTTGTAATCGTCGGTAAGGAAGCTTCTATGTCTCAGAGACATACATCAGCTGTTAACCAACATGCAGGGCGCACGCTGAATCAGTTCTACCCTCAAGCTGTCTCTGCACCCAGATAGCAACTCCAGGCCTCCAACACCATGGGTGCAAGTACCGTCTTCATCAATGGCCGTATTCTAGCCAAAGGTGGAACTGGCCTTGAAGCCCAGCCCACTTTCGCGGATAGTATGCTTGTCCAAGATGGTAAAGTCGTCACCATCGGCCCTCAAAGTGAGGTTCTACCGAAAGACACCACGGGGTTTGAGGTCCGAAATCTTCAGCAGCGTACGGTGCTTCCTGGGTTCATCGACGGACATATGCACCTACTTCTCTTGGGCCAGTCACTAAGAAAACTCGACTTGGTTCGCTGCAAAACGATAGACGACATTCGGTCAACCATCAAAGCTTACGCGGCAGCTAATCCGGACGTGCCAACAATTCTCTGTAAGAACTGGATGCACTCCATGACGCCGGGCGGGGTGAGCGCTGCACTGCTTGACGATATTGACCCGCGACCCATCTTTATCGATGCGAGCTCTCAGCACTCTTGCTGGTGCAACTCCGCGGCACTGGAGAAATTGGGTGCGGCGGAGATGGCGGATCCCCCTGGCGGAAGCATTCATCGGGATGCACAGGGCAAGCCTACCGGAGTCCTCGACGAGGGTGCAATGATGTCTGTCATTTGGCCGTTCCAAGCCGCATCAGCCCCGAAACGCGAGCGCATTGAAGCAATCAAGGCAGCTATCAAAGAGTATAACGCCGCCGGTTACACTGGAGTGGTGGAAATGGCCATGGACGAAGAGGCATGGAACGCGCTCGTCACTTTGAAAGAACAAGAGCCTGATCTTTCTATTCGCGTTGCGTCCTACTGGTTGATAAAGCCGACTGCAGACATCGCAGCCAACTCAAGGCAAGTCCAACGTGCTATTGAGCTGAGTAGGACATTCAACTCCAGCAACGACCCAGACCTCCGCATCGTCGGCGTCAAAGTTATTTGCGACGGCATCATCGACGCGTGCACGGCATATCTCTCAGAACCATATGCGCCAGCGGGCCTCCCACCGCCGATCTGGGAGCCGGAACATGTGGAGGCTGTCGTCAAGGAGGCAGACGATGGAGGACTCCAAGTCGCACTGCACGCGATCGGTGACGCGGCCATCAGAATGGCCATCGATGCGATTGAGAAGAATGGCACCCCAGGACGGCGGCATCGGATCGAGCACTTGGAACTTGCATCGCCAGAAGACGCTCAGCGACTGGGTAAGTTGGGCCTGACAGCCTCTATTCACCCAGTGCATGCCGACCCTTCGATTTTGACGGAGTGGCCGAGACTTCTGGGAGAAGACCGCTGTAAACGGGCCTTTGCGTATCGCGAATTCGCTGACGCGGGCGCCTTGATGGCGATTGGGAGCGACAGCCCTACATCGCCGTGGGCTCCGATGCAAAATCTGTATGTTGCGTCTACCAGACGCTCGTCGCGGGATCCGAGCTATCCCAAGGTGGTTAACGAGCACTTCAAGCTGGGGTTGTGCGAATCAGTGGTTGCTGCGACTTGGGGCGCTGCTTGTAGCGTATTTGCCGAGGAGAGAGTTGGCAGCTTGGCTGTGGGTAAGCTGGCGGACTTCATTGTGGTGGACATGGAGTGGGATGCCGCTCGCCTATTGAATGCAAAGGTCGAAGAGACTTGGTTTGGAGGAAACAAAGTCTGGGATTGTGAGAATGAAAGTTGATAAGTCGTGGAATGATGATTCAGAGATCCGACCTGCTTTGAAATAAGAAACTGTGCGGTCACGGTGACCATGTCTATCAACAAGACGGGGTCATGTTCAGCGGATGTTCAACGCATCTTCAGCGCTCTGCTGCAACAATACCAAACACTTCTCCGGTTGTCGAAAGATTAGCGTCTGCCCTGCTCATAGCCTAGAATCTGCAAACGAATATTCGAATGATTATTCCCTCAGAGGCTATTGCAACCCATCAGAGAACAACATAATTGGTTCTGATTCCGAATGACGCGATGTAAGGGTCGGTAGTCGTGCAAGCTGGGCGCGACCATTATTAATGAGCTGACGGCCGAACACCCCGCCAGCCCGCAAACTCTCTCGGAAGCCCTCACCTTACGTAAATGTCTCATCGGTCTCCGAGCTCTCTCTGTCACACTCTCATTCGCGGGCGATCTCCGTCTTACTCACTCCTCGAATTGGTCTCACTGCGATTATCTTGTTTGAAGCCTAGAGAAGAACAGCCAGCAGCTTGTTCTTCGTCTTATTCGCCATCTCGTGAGCTCCAGTACACCGACCATGATAAGAAATCGAATTGCTGCATCGATCCTCTTCAAAAGACCCACCCCAGCGGCCTCAGCTCCATTCTACTGCGTGAGGAGCTTCAGTCATAGCCCAACCATCATGTCTCGGAATGGCGACCGCGAAAGCGGCAGTGAGTAACAATCCAGCCCTTCTTGTCTTCACCTCAATATGCTAACAACTCACAGAAAAGCCCCTCAACTTCGGCATAGTCGTCTTCCCGGCCTTCCAAGCGCTTGACGTCTTTGGGCCCCTAGACGCGCTGAATCTCTTATCGCGCTCATACGAAATGAACCTGTCCGTCATCGCGGAGACGCTGGACCCCGTCTCGACGAAGCAGATCCCAGGCGCACAGCAACAGCCCGGCGCTATCCCCGCCACCGGTCCCGCGGTCCCGGCCGCCAACTCCGATTTCGGCCAGACCATCCTTCCCACGCACACATTCCAAACGGCCCCGCCACTGGACGTGCTCATTGTCCCCGGAGGCCAAGGCACGCGGTACGCCGGCATCCGCGCCTCCATCGACTTTATCAAGGAGAGGTTTCCTCAGTTGCAGTATTTGATTACAGTTTGCACAGGCGCAGGCGTCGCCGCGCGTGCGGGAGTGCTGGACGGGAAGAGGGCAACGACGAATAAGCTGTCATGGGAGCAGACTATTGCGCTGCGGCCGGAGGTGAACTGGGTGCACAAGGCGCGGTGGGTGGAAGATGGCAATGTTTGGACGTCGTCTGGTATCAGCGCTGGTATCGATGTTACTTTTGCGTGGATTGCTGCTGTGTACGGAAAGGATCTCGCGAAGAACATCGCGGACAGGATGGAGTACACGCCCGTCGAGGACTCAAACTGGGATCCTTTTGCAGATCGCTGGGGTGCCAAGAAGGCGTAATCTTGTGGTTTCACATTTGACACTCTCGCATAACTACTAGGACAACAATGAGAGAACGTTGAGATAGAAGACGCCATTATTACAAAGGACATTACTCGACAGGTTGGGTGTGGCTTCTAGACTCTTGGCAGGACATCCCATAGAGGTTCAGGCGGAATCAGCCGCTGCAGCTGAGAAGCCTGGGAGAAGGCCGAGTACCTTCCGCCCGAAAAAGACAATAAGAAAGCGGAAATAGAAAATGACCGTTCAGATCTCCCGCCCCAGCACAGCAAGCACAGCGGGGAATCCGCTAGGGGCACTGGCGACTACAACCTGTCCATCATCATTGTCTGACTTGCCTGCGGGCATTCCCAAGATGTTCTTTTCTCCTCCGCCTATGTCGAGCAAAGCGTTTGGGAGCGGGTTCTTCATGTTATCCGCGGCTGCCACTTTGATCTTGACGTTGTATCCCAGCAAGATTCTTGTAATCTTCATCAGTCTGCTGGACAGTGGATCAGTGCCACTTACCGATCCCAGTTGAGATCGGGCCGCAGCACTGACATCCCTTTCACACACGCATACAGTTAGCGAGACCACCACAGAGTTGATGAAAGCTTACCAAAAGCCCCGATCAACATCGAACGCTTGCAACCCTCCAGCCTCAAGCGAGAGCTTCACATCGAAAGTTGCAGTGTTGGTATTATAGAGAGGATCGCTGTCCAGATTCGGAAATCCAAGGCTAGCCCAAGGAGCCGTCTTCGCACCTACAAGGTCGAGATCTAGGCTAATTTGTTCCCGGCCTCCATCTTTGGCTTCAACCCAGGAATCGACCCTACGGTCAACTCCGTTAATTGAGTATAAGGGTCTGTAATAGATCTTATCTGGACTAAATGGGATGAGAGGCTTCGTGGTTGCCCTTGAAGATGGTATGTCCATGTCCGAGCATGGCATATTACTCCTTTGCGCGCCAGTTAGTACATTGAAAACCTCATAGGAGGGGTAATTTTGTTCT